CCCGACACCACAGAAGTGGGTTTTTTTGTAAAAAACGGTTTATCCACCCCATTTTGTATAAAACCCAGGGGAGCAGCCGAGCCCCTCGACCGCCACACCAAGGGCTGCCGCCCAACAAGGTACAACTTTGTGCCAAACTGAATCTAAAACCCACATCAAGGTTCCCTCCTCTCTACAGTCAATTCTCTACCTTCTTCCTTTGAACTATTCCTTAAAAAAAAAATTCCGTGTATCCCCAAGATTTTTCGTCCCAGGTACAGTACGATCAATACGATGACAGGAGGGAGGGGGCCACTTTTTTTTTTTTTTTTTCTCTCTCTCCTCTCTATGCTGTTTTTTGTTGTCCCTTCTTTCCAATCAGAGACTTATGAATATGCGGGATGACACCTGCGGAGAGAAGAGGAGGATTCCCGTCAGAAACTCGCAGACTTCCCAAAAAAGCGCCGAGAAATCCTCGATTCCCAGCGGAGTTTTGCCGTAACCCGGCGTGAACGTTTCCTCCCGCTTGATGTATCCACCCTGGCGCTCCAGTCGGATCCGGGGAAGCAGCGAGCCTCCAGTATTTATCACCGCTGCCGAATTCCCATATTTTTTTCCCCCTCCTCTCACTACAATTCCCAGTTAGGGACAGGAACGAGGGAAGGGGCCGCCGTACCCACCTCCACCAGCAATGGTGGCTTTGATGAGCGAGTCCAGTTCCTCATCGCCGCGGATCGCCAGCTGCAAGTGACGGGGCGTAATCCGCTTCACTTTTAGGTCCTTTGATGCATTGCCTGCCAGCTCCAATACCTGCCGAGAAACCGGGAAGACTCTCAGGATCCTGAGGGACACAGGATTTTGGGGTTTGGGGTTTTTTTTTTTAAGGACGAAGGCAAGCGCGGGGCCCTACCTCAGCAGTGAGGTACTCCAGAATAGCAGCACTGTAAACGGCAGCAGTGGCACCAACTCGCCCGTGGCTGGTGGTGCGGGTCTTCAGATGCCGGTGAATTCTGCCCACTGGGAACTGGGGTGGGAGCAATCAACAACCTCATTAACGCCTATAGGCCCCCCTATACATTTGCCTAATTACGCCCCGCACCCCCCTGCCCCGATTTTGGCTCAAGCGCTTTGCGCGTCTACATCTTGCCTTAACGACACGGAACCGATTCGAGGGCGGATCCTCCCCACACGTTTCCCTGTGGCATTTCCTGATAATTACCCAAATTATTCCTTGCACCCTCTCTGGAGGAGAGGCCGACCCTGCCCGAGTCAGCAAACGGCCCCCGTGAGCCCAGGGCTCCTGGTCGCTCCATAATGACAACGCAAATCACAAAACGTTAACTTTTCACCCCCAAAAATAAGAGGGTTTGGGGCAACCTGCCCACCAGAAGTGGAAGTTTTACTCAGAAATTCATGTTTTACGATGAGATCGGGGAAGCCGCAGGCCTTACCTGCAGCCCAGCTCTCTGGGAGCGCGACACCGCCTTTGCTTTTGCCTTACCGCTGTCTTTCCCCGCCTTGCCACCAGCCTGCAAGAGAGAAACGTGCCTATTAATTAATCTTCATTAATCCAGAAAGACCTGCTGCACTATAATCCGGAAGCAAACACGCTCTCTGCAGCTGCAGGAAACTTGTGGCCTCTCAAACGACCCAAAACGAGGCAAATTTGAGGGGATGAAGGGGGTTCAAGGGGCGCGGCGGCTGCTTTATCGCCCTGGGTGTGTGTGCATCTCATTTCCTGCTACCGCTGTTCCCGTTATTTCCCAAAAAACACCGAACGGGAGGAAACCAGCCCAAAGACCCCCTCCCTCCCTTCCCCCTGCAGCAGTTCTGAGAACAATTTGATTTCAGATTTGCTTTCCCCGCTCTGCGGGCAGGCGCTGACACAGGTCGCACGGTTTCTGAACAGACGAATTTGCATCAAGTGCAATTCCCTTCCTGCTCCGGAGCGGAAAAAATCACCGCGGAGCCCCAAAAATCATGGATTTACTGAAAATTGTGTTGCAGGGGGCAGCTAAAACCCTGAAGTGCAAGCGTTTGGAAGCTACTGAGAAATGAGGAAGAACTGAACGTGGGTTTGCCGGGCTCTCGCGTATCTGCTTTAAGAAAATTGCTCGATTCAAGGGATACGGAAGAAACCGTGACGTCACTAATAGCTAACGAGAGCTGCTCCTAACGAAGGTGAGAGCAGCAGGCGATGCAGCAGGGCAGTCACGAAGAGCCCGTGCCCTCCCACGTGAAGGACGACGTTGGGCTGAATGTGTTTTTTTTTACCGGAGGAAGAAGGGAAGTCTCTCAAAGACGGGAATAACATTTAATGGCTGTGCGGTACCCAGACCTGCTGTTACCAACCCCAAATCCGTTCCATTTAAGAAACAATGGCAACTGTAACCCCCAAAATTAAGTCTCCCAGCCTGTGATGGGCAGAGAAGCCCCCGTACGGCCACTGCGAAGGGAAAGTGGGGCCCTGAAAGCATCCATACCTGTAATCCCCATTTTTACACCACATATTGATCCCATGATCCCAACACAATCCCCATCCCCTTCAAAAAAGGGGGAATTGCGTCTCGGCGGGAGGGAGCTGAAAGCTGCCACCAGCCCTTCCCACTCATTCGGAAGGAACTGCAGGATCCAGAGGTTCCCCTGGAGACCAAGGTGCTAATTAATATGCTAACAGCATATTAATCCTTAAAATAAGACACCAGCTTAACACGGGGATGTCCAAGATCCACGTCCCGTCCCAGCGAGGTGGGAGTTAACACCACGCGCTTGCGCCAGCTGGGGAGCGCCGGTCCAGTTTGAACTCAAATATTTAAAAAAAAAATAAACCATAAGGGGAAAATATTTGATCTGGAGGCAATAAGACAAGCAGAGCGGCGCTGGGTGAGGTTGGCAGGAGAGCCGGGCCGGCGTTGGTGGCACGGAGCACAGGTGGGTTCCTCTTTGCGGCAGCGGTGGGGCCGCCAGCGGAGAGCCGGCTGCGGGAATGCTGGCACCCGGCAAACCCGCTCGGCGTTTTGGCAGCCGATGCCAGGTCAGGAGCGACTTTAGAATGGTTGGCTCTGGTTCATCAGGAAAGCGGCTGAGGGATGACTTGGAGACACATCCAGAAACACTCTGAAGCGCCGACTCAATGCTGTCTTCGCTGCGGTGAAGCGTCAGGAATTACTTTTTTCAGTAGAAAACGTCACTCAGTAAATCTTCAAAAATCAGTTAGGGGGATTTGGGGATATTTCCTCGCTCTAGAAATAAAAGACAGCTCTGGGAAAAGCCCTGGCTGTTCACACTGAGGGCTTTTATCAGCCAGCTGTGAACTTTCCCACTTCTCTGTCAAGTTTTCCAGCCGGCAGCTGCCCGCCTGATGGTTCTTTGCACGCTATTTGACTAAAAAGAGGGAAGAAAAGTCTCACAGCGGAAGTCCCGAGGTTTGCCTCCACCTTCACCAACGTCTAAACCCTCTGCGGCGTTTGCAGAGGAAGCGCCGCAACAGGTCCCCACTGCCGAGCCGCCGCCGGCTCCCTGCGGAAGCTCATCCCCCTCCCGGCCGCGGAACGAGGGCTCCTTGATGAATATCGCGTTCGCGCAGCGGAGGTTTCCTTCTCTTCCTCAGGATGCGGCGCTGGCGGGGGCTCCGTCGGGGCCGCGGGGGCCGCGAT